TTTTTTTTTTTTTTTTTTTTTTTTTTGGCGGCTGCCCAGTATGATACCTGTATCACTTTTATCCTATATTTGATTCATTCAACCAACCACCATTGTACACCTGTTTTATCCCTTATACTTTGCTAGGTGCTAGAAATGTACATTCAAAACTTACATTTGATTTAATTTCCATATTGTTTTTTATCTGAATGAGCGAGGATTTTTACTTTTTGTGCATCAGATGTTTGTATTGGCTTCTAGTTAAAACTGCTGAGCAATATTGGATTGGCTTTGAAATTAGTTGATCTTGGCTTATTTCTTATGTTATTTCCATTAGCATACATTAAACACAGATTCCAGTAACTACAATACTATTGCACCCCGTAGTTGGTAGTGTCAAGGGAAAAATAGATTAAATAGGCAATTAGTACCAAAAAATCGTTTCATTACCACTGGGTATAATGCCAGGAGAAGAAAATGTAAGAGTGGGAAGATAACTTGCTGTCCTTGGGAAAAGCTAGTCTTTTAGTCGGGTGGACTGGCAGCAGACCTCTATTGCTCTTGGTCCAAAACTGTTTTTTTCAGTGTTGGTGCTGATGCCTGCCAGTTGCACTATTAGAATCTTATTCTTTTAAGTTATTGGCCCACATTAAAATAAGAATATCTTTGGAGAGTTAACATTCACACATGTAATTAACACATTAGAGTGAATAAATTTATCAGGCCTTTCCAACTTGACATTCATCTACAAATAGGTTTGGAAAGAAGTTAAAGAACTAGGGTTTCGGGCCGGCCCGGTGGCGCACTGCTACAGTGCGCCGCTTGGGAGCGCGGCGGCGCTCCCGCCGAGGGTTCGGATCCCACATACAGACCGGTTCCCACTCACTGGCTGAGCGAGGTGCGGATGCAACACAGAGGGTTGCGATCCCGTTGCCCGTCCCGGTCCGGTATGGGCGCGACACTGAGGGTTGCGATCCGTTGCCGGACACGAAAAAAGACAAAAAGAAAAAAAAAAAAAAGAACTAGGGTTTAGTATAGGAGGGCACACATTTGCTTGGAGAGAACAGACTTCTTTTGGGAACCCTAGGCAGAGGAAGCATAATGGCACTAGCACATGCCAAGGAATTGAGGAAGCTTGAAAAGGAGATTGTTAAGACCTGGTGATGCATTTGGAATACTATTTTATGTTATTTGTATGAGATCCAGTAGCCAACAAGACTTTGGCTGTGTAGTAGCAACTTTAAATTCTAAAAATGTAATAGCAGTTTAAATAATTTTATTGTAATGAGGTCAAAATCTAAGAATACTACGTGATGCTATGTAATGGTAATCTTTATTTTTTAGCAGCTGGCTGGTATAGGGATCTGAAACCCCGATCTTGGTGTTATCAGTACCACATTGTAACCAAGTGAGCTAACTGGCCAGCCCAAATGGTAATCTTTAAATACACATTTTACATTTTATAAATAAAAGTTTTAAAATACGAAGATAATTTAAAATAAAAATTTAAAAAGAATAAACCACAGGCAACAGTTGTTCTTTTCATGTACTAAATACATGAAAATTTTCAGACGCACCAATAGAAAAGACAAGACAACTAATCTGAGACAGGGAATACTTTATTCAAAACCCATCAGAGAAATGGACAGCTTGGGTCTGTTACAGAGCATTCGCATTTTAAAGCATAGGTCAGTAATTGTATATGAGAGCATACACAGCTACATACAAATTAACTGATCAGACCACAACTTTTCAATGTTTAAAACAGAATAAGCTTCCCTGTAAAAGCAGCACCTTTGTGACATTAACTTCAATATTCTTCTCCTTCTTCCTCACCTTCTCCTTCAACAGAATCCACACCAACCTCCTCATAAT